GACAAAAATCATATGACTTCACTCATGTGAGGACTTTAAGAGACTAAACAGATGAACATAAGGTAAGGGAGACAAAAGTAATATAAAAATAGGGAGGGGAGAAAACAGAAGAGACTCATAAATACGAAGAACAAACTGAGGGTTATGGGAGAGATTGTGGGAGGGGGGATGGGCTAAATGGGTAACAGGCATTAAGGAATCTACTCCTGAAATCATTGTTGCACTATATGCTAACTAATTTGGATGTAAATTTAAAAAAATAAAACAAGTTAAAAAAAAAAAAAAGAACAGCCATCAAATCATAAGAGGTTGACACAGCAGTCAGCCAAGACTTTAGGACATTAAATACATGTCTTTCTTTAATCAAACAAAACAGGATTGCGTTGCTTTTTAAAACCAAATTGTAAGGTGATCCAAAAGTAGAAAAAGTAGATCATTTGCATTAAGTGGCCAAAATTAGACAACTAAAAATTAGTTCTCTTTGTGGACTAATTCATAGACTGTATGAAATTTTTTTTTCAATTTTAAAATAGGTTAGTATGTTTTGAAAGCTGCTATTTGGCTATAACCAGTAGAAACATTTTTCTTATAAATAAATATAATGTAATTAAGAAAATGCAGTTGGTGGCTAAAAATACAATGTATTCATTAGTCCTTCCTATCTGTGGGGTATATGTTCCCAAAACTCCCAGTGAATGACTGAAACCATGGATAGTACCAAACCCTATGTATACTATGTTTTTTACTCTATATACATGCCTAAAACTGGGATCAATAACAATAAAACCAGCATGAATTTCTTTTTCCTTCTTTACAATTTCACAGATAGAAGATTCATTCTTACTATAGATCTCAGCAGCCTCAGCATGTGATTTTTTCTTTCCCTATTTAGTTGAGAATTTTCAACTATTCACTTCAGGGAAGCACTTTCTGGTGTTTCTTTGGCATCTCTGAATTGCCAGTATCACCACTCTTGAGGTTTGGGACCATTATTAAGTAAAATAAGGGCTACCTGACCACAAGCACTGCCATACTGTGACAGCTGATCTGATAACCCAGATTGCTAAGTGACTAATGGCTGGGTAGTGCATATACAGTGTGGATACATTGCATAAAGGGATGATTCTCATCCTAGACAGGACAGTGTGAGATTTCATCAGGATACTCAAAATTTCATGCAATTTAAAACTTATGAATTGTTTCTTTCTGGAACTTTCCATTTAATATATTTGGACAACAGTTGACTGCAGATAACTGAAACCACTGAAATCAAAACCGCATATAGGGGGTGGAAGGACTACTGTATTTCCCCCCGGACTGTGACTTACACTTTACTGGAGCTGTGAAAAAGCATGAGAAAACACCTGAACAAATGCATGCAATGTGTAATCTATTTAGGTGGTGAGAAGAGAAAATCTGATACCATAGTAAACAATTCAGAACATAGCAAGGAAATGGACTTATACATATATTAAATAAAAGAATGATTATTCTGTTATGGTCCTGAAGTTGAAAAGCAAATTTCAAACAGTGATTACAAACACCATTCTCAAATGCTAAGTTTCTATAGGGTGCATTACTAATGGACAAAGTTTCCAAAATTCTGTGGTTGAACTATATGTTCCTTTCAAAAGAAAATGTTTATATAAGTGCTCTTGCTTGCTTAGTATTGGAAGAAGGAAAATATTTCCTATCTGGACAAAAGAAAGCTAGGAGATATTTTAAAGACACCTAAACAGAAAAGAAGAGGATACATAGCAGGTTTCAGAAAGTTCACAAACCACAATATTCAAATTCAATATTTTACATGGCTATGATTATATCTAAAATATCTGTACTTTACTTTCCCCCCATATTATAAAGTTATACTTTATATCTGAACCTGTGATTCAGGCACCCCACAAATATGCCTTTTGAATATAAAACTGGCATATTGTTGTCATATCAAATTAGTTGCTACTGTTGATTTTAAAAATATTTTCTGAATTTATCTAGGATGCCTAACACTGACACCAGCATATGTAGTTATGAAGACACTTACAGCCTTTTGTAAAAGTCAGCATTCATCTTACACCAGCTCTTTTCAGATAGAAAACATACTTAATAAATGAAAAAAAAATTAGTTAATAAGCCACATTTAACTAGCACTAGTGACTGCTCAATGAAACAATACACAGTAGAAGTTAACTCCATTTAATTTACAGCTTATTTTATAACTGTATTTTATTAAGGTATAATTCACAATAGTAAAATCACGTATCTTAAATATACAGCTTGGGGAATGTTGACAAATATATGCAGCTATATAACTGTCAGCCAGATCAATATACAAATCATTTCAACTGCCCCCCTCTCAAATTTCCTCATGTTCCTTTTACAGCCAGTTTGAATCCCCTGACCTCACCCAGAGAAAACAGTCGTTCTGAGATCCATCACTACAGCTTAGTTTTGCCTATAATTGGCCATCATATAATTAGTTATACAGAATGTTCTGTCTGGTTTATTTTGCTCAATGTAATGCTTTAGAGATTCAGGTAAGGTTATTACATTTACCAGTAGTCCATTCTTTTTTATAAGTAGTACTCCATTGTCTGACTAGATCACAGTTTGTATATCCATTCTCCTATAGATACAAACTTGATTGTTTATGTTTTGTGCCATGAATAAAACTGCCATAAGATTCATTTCTCTTCAGTATTTACCTAAGCATGAAACTACTGAAAAACAGAGTGTGTATTTAACTTTTGAAATTTCCAGTTTTCCAAAGTGATTGTACCATATATTACATTCCTATCCATAGTGTATGAAAGTTCCAGGCACTCCACATTCTCATTATTGCTCAGTCTTTTTTAGTGTTAGCCATTTAATCAGTGTGTATATTTTGTAATTTTAGTCATTTAGTGGTATCTTGTGGTTTTAATTTGCATTTCCTTGATGATAAGTGATGTTGAGAGCGTTTCTATATATACTTATTGGCCTTTTGTATATTTTTTCTGTGAAGTGTCTGTGAAGGCTCCTTAACTGGCTTCTCCTTTTATTACAGGTTTGTAGGAGTTCTTTATATATTCTGGGTAAGAGTCTTTTGTCAGATATGGGTATTTTGGATATTTTATTCCAATCTGTGGCTTGCTTCTTTACTTTCTTAATGGAAGCTTTTGAGGAACAGAAAGTTTTGATTTGGATGAAGTCCAATTTCTCTTTAAGTTAGTGCTTTGTGTGTCTTATTTGAAAACAAATGTTTCTTTACTCCAGATTATGAAGATTTTCTCCTAGAACCTTTTTCATTTCACCAGTCACATATAAGTTAATTTTTATGTAGATTAAGTAGAGGGTCAAGGTTTTGTTTTCATGCTTTTTTCAGTTATCCCAATACCATTTGTTGAAAAGATATCCTTTCCCTTTTTAAATACATTGGCACCTTTGTTAAAAAATCAACTGACTGTATACTGTTTCTTTTCTGGTTTCTGTTACTTTGATATATTTGTCTAAATCTATGCCAATGTCACACTGTCTTCATTATTGAAGTTTAATAGTAAGTCTTGAAGTCAAGTCATGTAAGTCCTCAAACTCTGTTCTTTTTCAAAATTGTTTGGCCATTTGAGGTCCTTCACATTTCCGCATAAAGTTTTAATGTTTGTCAATTTAGACCCCAAAAAAGCCTTCTGGGATTTTTAACTGGGATTGTATTAAATCTATGGATCAACTTGGGGAAACAAATTAGGCAGCTTCTTTTCTCCTGTATAAAGAAGTCAATAGGTAGGCAGTCCAGATATGGTATGTTACTCTACTGCATTGTTTATAATCCAGGCTCCTCTGTCCTGCTGCTCAGCTCTCCCTGGATTGTCTCCTCATTGATACAATACAGCTAGTGTGTTACCTCAGGTTCCAATTATGCAATTCAGGAAAAAGGAAAGGGGAGGGCAAAGGACAAAAAGTGTATGACAGCTGAATCTTTCATCTTCAAGTCATCTTTCCTTAAATCCCCACCTAATACTGTGTACTTATATCACATTAACCTGAGCTGCTTTATCATGCCATTTCTGTCTTCAAAGGAATCTGGAAAAATGTTTTTGAGCAATGCCCCTAAAAATTCAAGTTCTGTTAGTAAAAAGGAAGAGAAAAAAGTATATTGTTGTGTATTCTGTACAATAAAAATTCTTCTGCAAGGCTACTAACCTCTGAGTTAAGAATGCTAGTGGAGAAACAGGTTTAGTGGAGAAGTTCACAGATGATCTGCTAGATGGCTTCAAACTCTGAGCTATATTATAGCACAAAATTTGAAAATTCTAGACCAGGAATGTTTAATGCTCACAAAATAAAGCAAAAACATTTTCACATCTGGTTTAACAGCATACATAAGTAAGTGTCATCTGTTTGTAAACAAAAGTAGAATCAGTTGCCCAAATTCAAGGCTACTTCATTCCATTTCCTTCTACAGACTAAAAATAGCCTCCAAGACAGGAAAAACAGCTGGTTAAATACATATGTATCTTAATGATGCCTTAACAAACGTGGATCTCCTTCCCAACTGAAATAGGTCATTGTTTTCAACCCACTTGAAGAATGCAGAAGATTCTGAGTAAAGAATTATTGTACATTACATGGAATTAAAACATGTGCAAATAAGATGTTCCAGTCTCAGGCTGACTGAGGTTTAGGGAAGTGGGAAGAGAAATAATGATTTTGGCTGACAGAGTTGGAGATATTTGGGTTGAGGGTGGTAAGGCAGACAGAACTCATTGACATGGTCACTTCTGGACTTAATGACTCTGAGGAACATTTTAACTTACTAGATAAACTCATCTACAAACCTTCAATTTTCTTGTTAACTCATATACAACTTGCCACAGAGACACTGTATTTTCACTGACTTCTATGAAAATATTTGCTGTTGAAATGTGCTGGTGGTACCATGATTAAAAGAGATTATACTTATTATTGGTTTACCTTAAAAGATACAGAGAAGAAATGATTGATATGATCATCTACTATACTCCTATACATCAGATTTCTCCATAAGCCACAGCTCTGATTCTGGTTGTTTCCATTCTTCTCCAAGCAGTGTGTTAAAATTGAAAGGCTTAAAGTATTCCAGACAATGGCTAAACAGAAAGAAAAAGAAGGTGGGAACTGAAATGAATTATGCATTTGTGAAACAGCTGTCCTCAAGGGCTATTTGTCACATTTGTGACAGAACAACATTCTATTTTAAAAAATAACAAAGGTAAGATATTTTCTATGTGTACAACTTTCTCATTCTTTCTACGAAACATTCAGCTCTGAAATTCACCACATCTCAAAGCACTCTCAATTCTGCAAAAGCTCCCTCATGGCTGAGGGGAGAAATAAAAATCAACCCTCAAAACCTGATTCATTCCATCTAGCCTTAACAAATATTATACTCTTACAGATATTTTTACATTCAAAGTGTTATATACTTTATATGCCATATAGATAATTGTTTTTAAAGCTTCAGCTCAATAGATTATAGAGAATAGACGATTTTGTCAAAGCAAGGGCAGTTAATGTAAAAGAGATTTAATCCTAGTTCTCTCCTTTCTGGGAAAACCATTTAAACTATCGTGGCTTAATGAGGAGAGAAAGGCTTCACTAACAAGTTACAGTGGATCTCAGCTGTGTAGGAAATCACTCTGCCCTGGCTCCACCTTGGCCAATAGTATAATCATACTTTAATCTAGGGTAAAACTCCAATAACTTGTAAACGAGGAGCCTGAATACAGGAAGGCATTAGCTAGCTGGCGAAGAACGAGAGAAACAAGCCATCTTGATATGAGGGCCCTGAGGGAGTTGCATCTGGATTCCTGTCCCATTCTGCCCCCCTGGCCAGGCTGAACCTGGTTTAGAGTCACATGGTCAATGTAGGAAACTTCCAGTTACAAAATGAATAAATCACGGGGATAAAAAGTGCAGCCTTGGGAATCTAGTCAATATAGCCTAGTGAATATATTGTAATAGCATTTGTTGTATGGAGACTGATGGCAGCTACACTTATGAGCGTAGCATAATGTACAGACTTATCGAATCACTATGTTGTACACCTGAAACTAATGTAACAGTGTGTCTCAACTATACTTCAATTTTTTAGTTTTAAAAATTAAAAAAAAAAAGAGATTAGGGAAACAGTGAAGGATAAGATAAAGGGTCAGGACTGGGACAAATGCAAAGGGAAAAGGGAAAAGTATGTCAGGCAGAATAAAGGCAATTGGCTAGAAAAGATAAAGGTGAAGTGAGTAAAGAGCGTGACAGGAAGGTGAAAGCTAAAGGGAGAGGAATGGCAGTATAGCACTTTCTAAAGGTAAAAAGGCAGGAAAGTCAGTCTACCATGGTACAAAGCCCACCAGGATATCTATTAGGCTATTCTAAACATGCAATCACACCAGACTCTCTTGGCCACACTAGGTACGCCCAGAGAGATACAGAGTAGGAATCTCAGTTTGCCCCAGGACAGCATGTGCCTTTCCTTCCTAAGGGAGCAGTGTTTACAGCAGTCCATGAAGCATTTATGAAGCTGGGCAGGAATCATATTCTCCTTACGTGACAGGTTCAGGTGCAAAGAGGTAAGACTCAAAATGAGAAAATGTAGGCAATACCTTAGCTTACATGCCTGCTGCCCCACAGGAGCCAAAATCTCTTGTAATAATAACTTCATAGGCATAGTTTCTTACATCCCCACAGGGAACGAGACTGTTTAGGGGAAATCCCAAAGTCATGCTGCCCCTATCAGGTATTCATAGTTTATTTGTAATTCCTCTCAGATCAGAATCAATTTACCAATTAAGGGTCATTACTATGACAAGCAATGTTGCCTAAAAATATATCTGACATTTTTATCATCATGAGGTTACCAGGGGAAGAGAGCTAGAGAGTTGACTGAAGATCACATTCTTAAACAGCAAGGGAAAAGATTTATTAACCCCTCACTCACATCAGGAAACATAGATGCCTCTGGCCATTTAGCTCTGAAAGGGATCATAAATGAATTTGAAACCATATTTTTATACTAGCCATTGCAATACTCACTAAGCAGCATTTTTCTCATGCCGCTATGGAAATGTAAGTGCTCTACGGACAGCAGTAAGAGAGACAATGTCTGCCCAAAGTCAGTCTGTCAAGTATTTACTGGGGACCGTCACTGGACATAAGACTCTACTAGGTATTTGTGCACGTGTCTTCTTGGAATGAAAAATGTTACTACTGTTCTACCACAAATTAGATTCCAAAAAACTCAGAATCGGAACGTATCTTCATTTATTTTCTACTTACAAATCAGGTTTTTGTCCTTGTTGCAGTTCATGCTGAGGTACAGGGTAAAGAGCTTCATAATTTCTTTTATCTTTTGACCCATGAATTGCAAATGAATTGAATTTTGTCACCTTTGGTGGAAAATAACTCCAAGGAAGATAAGCTTTGCCTTCCCATTTTGTCTCTTCTCTGGACACTCTGAATGATAGAGCAAGCTCCTGCTATAGAAACATGTGAAACACAAAAGGTAAATTTAGATGTTTTTAAAAAAAATTTTTTTTTAATGTTTATTCTTGAGACAGAGACAGAGCATGAACAGGGGAGGAGGAGAGAGAGAGGGAGACACAGAATCCGAAACAGGCTCCAGGCTCTGTGCTGTCAGCACAGAGCCCGACACGGGGCTCAAACCCACGAACTATGAGATCATGACCTGAGCCGAAGTCGGACACCCAACCGACTGAGCCAACCAGGCACCCCAGTAAATTTAGATTTATACTTGAAACATTTTATATAAGACACACACACCTCTCTACATACCTTATGGATTAAAGGATTTTGTCTAATATTTTTATTTACTTACTTTCCATACATTTCTTCTTCCAGAGAGTAAAAGCACCAAATGTTGTCCGTGACTGTCAAAATTAAAATTCCTCATGAGTGTTTGAAAGAAACAAACGTTATTTTCTTTACTTTCCTTCATACCTGCAGTGTGTGTGCTTATATTAAATTTCCAAATAATTAAAAGGTGCAATATGAATATTGGATAATTATAGGGAGAACTAGTGTGTTCAGTTACTTAGAAATGTGATTTTCAAGCTTACCATTTTTCAGACCATTGCAGTCAAATGCAGAAAGCTACATGTGTCAGATGAGGCAAAGTATGAAAAAGGGATTGGGGGGAGTGGATACCACAGTATCTGATGGCATAATAAAACCCATCTTGAAAACTAAAACACCATAAAGGAAGTTTGCACAAATATCTACGACTGAATCCAACAACTTTACTAAAGTTTATTTCTGCTAAAAAAAAAAAAGAAAAGGAAAAAGAAAAAGAAAAAAAAAGACTGATGCTCATCAGGAAGATAAGAAATAAAAACATAGATTGTCTAACACAAGTCAACAGGCTGAAGATTTTAATTTGTATCTCTTCTTTCACACAACTCTCCACCATCCGTCTGCCTGTTGTGTTTTCCTGTTTTTTTAATTTGTACCATTAGCTCAGACACTGATGTTACATTTTCAAAGATAAACAAAATATATCCTCAGAAGGAATTCTATTAAGAGAGCATAATTGGGATGAGCCAGGTCAGTAAGAATCAAAGGATTTCAAGTAGTTACATGAAACAAATTTACTGTCTCTGGAAAACACTAAACATTTCTCCTCAGATGGTCTGTTGTAAGCTTTTCAGGAAGGATTTCCTTCAATAAATAATTCTAACAGAAGTATTATTTTCACTTAAAAGTTCTCTGTTTATTTGTATTATTATACAACCTTAAGAATATCCTAAGAGGAATAAAAAGTCCTTGCAAATTAAAACAACAATATTCTTCATGTTGCTTTCCTAGAGGCTAATTAACTGTCATAGGAGTTGATAGCCTGAAGCAAAACCATGATTCTTGATTATTAACTGTCCTGGAATATATGAAACTAAACTACTCTAAGGATTTTTTTTAACTTTTAGAATTATTAATTATATACATAATAGTTACTATATAATTTAAAAACAAAAGAGAATCTAATTATCCTATTCATATACTACTAAATCATTTTATGAAAAGACACTGATAGTATCATCTAATGAACTTAAAACTAAGGATAAAACTTTAGAATTCTAGCATACCCAAGTTCTTAACTGCTTTCTAAACAAGTTGCAAGCCTATTTGCCTTAGGTTTCTCTCCTGTATGATGAAAATAATCACACAACAGTTGAAGTTTTATTTCCTCATATGACAGTTTAATCGTATTTTCAACAAAAGATTCTGGCATGTTAGTTAAAAGGTACACACAAAAATATATGATTGTTCTCAAAAATATAATTGTGAACATCTATGTTTTCCACATCAGAATTAGCAAGATATCAAAATAAGGGAAAAGAAAAAAATATCTAAAATTTCATTTAAATCAACTGTTTGGGACTCTGCCCCCCCTACAAAGGGACAGAGGCTGCTGGATTTAGATACTAAGAGGTATTTAAAAGGGGTGCCTAGGTGGGTCAGTCAGTTCCACATCTGACTTCGGCTCGGGTCATGATCACATAGCTCATGGATTTGAGCCCCGCATTGGGCTCTGTGCTGATAGTTCAGAGCCTGGAGCCTGCTTCAGATTCTGAGTCTCCCTCTCTCTCTGCCCCTTCCTTGCTTGCCATCTATCTCTTGAAAATAAACATTAAAAAAAAATTTTTTTTTAATTAAGGTCATTTAAAATGAATAATGGCAATATAAAGAAATATTTCTTTACTAAATATTTTACTAATTTAAATTCTGTCATAATTTAGATGAAAGGTAGCCATAAATTACTTTTTTGCATATATAGGAAAAACTGCCAACTAGGTAAAAAGGGTTCCCAAAGGACTGGTTAAATTTAAACAACAGTCCAAGGTTAATTTTTTTAATAAGTCTTTAAAAAAGCTATGTGTGATTTAATTTTTATCCCTGGCATTGAACACAAAGTGACATAGTATACACTCAATAGCTGAATGATGAATAAAAGAAGGAATACATAATTATGTAATACATAAAATTCAAATTTAATCCAGTCATTTAAAAGATTCCCGAAAAGAAACTAGTTCAATTCATTATATCTATATCTTCTTTTATTTCTGAATAGCTAATATATAATAATGCAAATTTTAGAATAAATAATGAGAGGAACTTTTGTTATTTATAATGATTTTTCATTTTATAAAAAACCCAATTAGAAAACAAGCCACATTAGAGAATTGAGAATAATATCAACATAATATTTTCAAAGGTTTACAATATATGTTATACACTAACTTGAAAATAAAGAATTATACACAATTCAGATTAGTTCAGATTAGCACTCCTATTAGTTGAGCTTTTCCCTGACCATATAATTTATAATAAGGAAATAACTGTATTCAAATTATGTAGTAATGAGTTAGAAAAAAATGTTATACTTACGGACAAAGTTCAACTTCTAAATACTGTTCAGTTATGTCATTCAAGAAAAATGCTTCCACAACTTTTGAAAACAAAGATAAGACATACTGAGAAGGTTGATTTTGCTTCAGTAATAAATACTTCATTTTTTAGAATATAAAATGAATTAACTCAGTATTTTTAATTCTATCCCCAAAGGAAAACAAATACGCATTGCCTGGAAGAAGAAATACATAGGAAATAAATCATCATTTTTTTCCTACAACAGATCATCATAAATTAAAAATATTAATAAAGCCTCGTGTTGGGTGACGTTCTAAAACAATGAATATTATTACACAGACTTTGAGACAGTTATCTTCTTTTCTAGGAATTTATCTTAAGAAAATAATCAGACAGGGGCGCGGTGGCTCAATCGGTTAAGCGTCTGACTTCAGTTCAGGTCATGATCTCACAGTCCGTGAGTTTGAGCCCCGCGTTGGGTTCTGTGCTCACAGCTCAGAGCCTGGAGTCTGCTTCAGATTCTGTGTCCCTCTCTCTCTGCCCCTCCCCTGCTCATGCTCTGTCTCTCTCTGTCTCAAAAATAAATTAAAAACATTTTAAAAAAAATTTTTTTTAAAGAAAATAATCAGACAACTGGGAAAAGAAATAAATATCATGCCAGTCATCAAAGTATTGCTCAAAAATTTAGAATGATCTAAATGGTTATTTCCCAGGGGCGCCTGGGTGGCTCAGTCGGTTACGCGTCGACTTCGGCTCAGGTCACGATCTCATGGTTCGTGAGTTCGAGCCCCGCATCGGGCTCTGGGCTGATGGCTCAGAGCCTGGAGCCTGCTTCCGATTCTGTGTCTCCCTCTCTCTCTGCCCCTCCCCCATTCATGCTCTGTCTCTCTCTGTCTCAAAAATAAATAAACGTTAAAAAAAAAAAATTTAAATGGTTATTTCCCACTATATAAGTAAAACTCCTGTTATATGGGAGAGCTGTTAAATAAACTATGGAATTTATATATTCCATGCAAAAATATATAATACAGTCATTACAATCAAATATACAGTTAATTATATTTTTTGATATGGGAAGATATCCATGATATGTGATAAGCAGGCTGCAGAACAATAACGAAATGTACATGAAATAAGAATGTGCATGCATGCCTGTGTCTAGATGTCTATAAAGGGGAAAGCCTGGGTGGCTCAGTCTGTTGAGCATTTGACTTCAGCTCAGGTCATGATCTCACAGTCCGTGAGTGTGAGTCCTGCATCAGGCTCTGGACTGACAGCTCAGAGCCTGAAGCCCGCTTCGGATTCTGTGTCTCCCTCTCTCTCTGCCTCTCCGCTGCTTGCACTCTGTCTCTCTGTCAAAAATAAATAAACATTAAAAAAATAAAAAAATAAATGTATGCAAAGTATGAGTGCACGCGCGCACGCGCACACACACGTGCACACAAATGACTGGTTATCTCTGATAGGGGCAATACACGTAGGTGATTTTTCTTTTCTTTACAATTTCCTGGACTTTTTTGTGCATGTGATGTTTTTTAAATTGTTTAATTATGAAAGTAATACATACTTCTTATAAATGATTAAAACAATATAAACATATATAAAGTAAAAAGTCAAAGTCCTTTTCTTTCCACTTTGCTCTAAAATTTTTGTCAGATGTTTTCTGTCCTTCTACAATCTATTTTACCTGCATGGATTTTAAAAAATAAATATGGATCATAATTGCCTACAACTTGCTTTTTTCACAAAAAACTTTGCAGCATATAGATACCTAATGCTTTTAAACTATTGTATAGTATTCTTCTATAGAATGTTATAATTTATTCACACAGTCCTTTATTGAAGACATATATGTTGTTTCCAGTTTTCCATGTGTTATTTTTATAATAAAATAGCTAAGGGTCACCTGGCTGGCTCAGTTGGTTGAGCATCCAACTGTTGATTTCAGCTCAGGTCATGAGCCCAGGGTCTTGGCATCAAGCCTCACTCGGGCTCCTCGCTGAGCATGGATACAGTTCCATCAATGATTCAGGCTTATTGCCCCTTTCTAAGTTTTTTACCTAAATGAATTAGAATGCTTCCATGATGGTTAATTTTTGTGTCAACTTAGCCATAGTACCCAGATATTTGGTCAAACATTATCCTAGATGTTTCTGTGAAGGTATTGTTTACATGAGATTTGACATTTAAATCGGTAAACTTTTAGTAAAGCAGATTATTCTCTATAATGTGGCTGAGTCTCATCCAATCATTGAATCCCTTAACAGAAAAAAAGACAGACTTCCCCTGACCATGAAGGAATTCTGCCAGCAGACACCATCAGACTCAAACTGCAGTATACACTCTTCACCACATCTCCAGCCTGCTGCTCTACCGTGAAGATTTTGTACTTGCCAGACTCCAAAACTGCATAAGCCAATACCTTAAAATAAATCCCTCTCTTTCTTTACACATACACACACTCACACACACACTGTATCTCTTGGTCTTGTTTCTCTGGAAGACTCTAATACATCTTCTAATTACTATTTTCCATAATCATCTTAAAATCATTTTTGCATCTTCTCTGAATTAAACCCTGTATCAGATTCTGGGAATACTTTCATTAGCTTACAACCCAATCAGACATGAAAGTGGACACTTCTAATAAAAACATCAAAAGGGAAGGAGGTATGGGTTGCTACCACAAGAAAAAAGAAAACAGATACTTAGCTCCAAAATGTGGTTTAGGGAAGGATTCCTGGAGAAGGTGTTACCTAAGCTCCATCTTGAAAGATGAGTTGGAACTGGGTGAAGAGGAATGATGAAAAGGGCATTCCAGGATGAAAGAGAAGTATAATCAAATGTACATGATTAGGAAATATTTTCCCTTAAAGAACTACAAGCAGTTCAGTCTTTCTAGGCAAACATTGAAGTGCATGAAGAAGCAATGCTGCAAAGAGAATAAGGGGTTAGGTCATGGAAAATCTTATATAGAGATCATAAAAAGAAGGATGAAACTATCCCAAGAGGACAGGGAGCCTGAGAAGGTTTGTAAAGACCTGAATTATGAGTCTGAATTTTCATTTTATTTTTTTTATTTATTTTTTTTAAATTATTTTTTTTATTAACGTTTATTTATTTTTGAGACAGAGAGAGACAGAGCATGAACAAGGGAGGGTCAGAGAGAGAGGGAGACACAGAATCTGAAACAGGCTCCAGGCTCTGAGCGGTCAGCACAGAGCCCGACACAGGGCTCGAACTCACAGACCACGAGATCATGACCTGAGCCGAAGTCGGCCGCTTAACCGACTGGGCCACCCAGGCGCCCCTTGAATTTTCATTTTAGATAGATCACTCTGGCTTCTAAGTGAAGAATGAAGTCAAGGGCAAAAGGACAAGTAAGGAGGCTTTGACTGGCCCAGGTGAAAGATCATAAAGGTCTAACCTATGGCAGGGATAGTGGGGATGAAGAAGAACTAGCTTAGAGAAACATTCAGGAGGTAAAGCTGATAGGACTCAGTAAATAAATCCAAATATGGAGAGTGAGAGAGAAGGATATATTGGAAAGACCTCATATTTCTGTATTTGGTGAACTGATGTATTAAGTAATTGGGCAATTGGGGAAAGAAGCAGGTTTATGACAGAAGTAATGAGTTGAGTTTAGGAGCTCTTGAGTTTGGTGTCTGTACTTCCAGTAGTTAAGTCACATTGGTGTCTACACCAGTAGGTAGCTGGTATATTTAAGTTCGGTATCAGTAAAAGATAATGTATGTTTTACATACAATAAGTTAACACTGACAAAATGCATGCTATACAGATGCTATACAGATTGTATGGATTACAAGAATCATCAAAGGTTTTTTTTAAAGAAATGAAACCTATATTAGACCTTAGAACTAAGTGCATTACAGGTGGGGGGAATAGAATGAGAAAAGGTACATGGGTGAGAACATGCATGGATAGTAAGACCATTAGCCTTTCATAAGTCAAGAGCCTTTGGTTGACATACGGTTTCACTTATATATGGAATGTAAAAAACAAAACAAATGAGTAAATAAAAAGTGGAAACAGACCCATAAATACAGAGAACAAACTGATGGTTGCTGGAGGGAGACAGGGAACATGGGTGAAAGGCAGTGGGAGATACAGGCTTCCAGTTTTGGAATAAATAAGTCACAGAGATAAAGGGAATATAATCAATGGTACTGTAATAGCATTGTATGGACACTGATGGCAGCTACACTTGTGAGCATAGTATAATACACAGACTTGTCGGACCATTATGCTGTACACCTGAAACTAATGTAACATAGTGTATCAATGACACTTTAATTCAAAAAAAAGAGCTTTTGGTTGAATATGATAGCCCAACCCATGAGTACTCTGAAATCTTACAGGAAGGGTTTGAACTTTCTCTCAGGGACAGTTATGGTTCGTGATCTGAGGAATGGAATCATAAAGAGTATTTCAAAATGTAAGTTTGGTTGCTTAATTAGAATACATTAGGAGGGGATCATATAGCAAACCTGGCAAAATGTAATTTCATGGTATGTCTTTTAGTCTTCATTTGACATGTGAGATTGTCAGTATAAAATAAAAACTACATTTCATATTAAAGTTGATAGTATTTCTATAAGTAAAACATCCCCAAACTTCCATAAAGAAGGTTTATAAGGTTAAAGTGGCAATTTGAAGATACTTAACGACAAAACAGAAATGCTGAACTCTTCTTAAAATAGGTATCAGAAGTAAAGGAAAGAAATATGGCAGCAATTTAAAAATCTGGATTTGTAATTGCCATTTTTCACTGTTCTAGTTATATAGCTGAAGTCACACAGGTGATGGTGAAAAAGTCAGAATAAGAGATTGGTAGGGAACGGAAGAAACTGCACACGTCAGCTGCTCAGAAGAGCACACACTTCCTTACAGCAAGATAAAATAATAGTTCTAGGAGAGGGTATTATAAAAAGATTTATGTTTGCAATAAAATACAGTACTTCCACTTACCTTCATAATCCCACAGTTCATTGAAAGGTTTTCCTGGTTCTCCAAGTGGAGCTGGAGGATCATTGAAAAATGGGGCGCTAACTTCCATCACCACTCCTCCATCACCTGGATTCAGCCTGACAAACACTGGCTCATGCTTCACTGGAAAACCATCCCAAGTGTATTCTATTTTAAAATCCATCTGAAGACTCTAAAGGAAAAAAAAAAAATAATAAGACAAACTCTTTAACCGTATACAATTGTTTCCTATAGTTAGAAATGAAATGGAAATGTCAATGTCAAATAGCAGGAAAGCAGCAGAGGGGCAGACACACAGTTCTGAGAGTCAAAAGGCCATTTGTGTTATAGCAAACTGTGGACGTGAGTTCTATTATAAGATAGGGAGTTGGATCCAAAAAGCTTTAAGACTAGGTCTAAATGCAGCTCATGTTACCTTGTAAAGAATATATCAAAATCATTTTTAAAAACCAATTAAGTCCACTGAAGAAACTATTCATGTACTTAATGATTATAAACACTATGAGTTTCTACATTCTTTATCTTTTATTCTAAAATGTGCAGGTGTATTGGACCCCTTTGGGAATCAAGATCTATATAATAAAAAAACGATTTGATAAAAAAAATAACTACAAATCAGCAGAAGCACTGCTGTTAACACTTGTTCTTTTGGCTAAAACCCTTTTCTCTTTGGGGTGGGAATTGCGGGAAGGGGGGTGCTCCAACTATTTGAAGGTTAGTAGAGTTTAATATTGTCTTCCTTGATCTCAGGGTACAGATTTTCTTAACCTTCTCAACTGTTGATATTTCAAGTGTTAAACACAACATGTTAATCCCTTCTCTGACTGAAAAATAGACAGAATTCATCGTCTAAACTTTGAAATAGACTAAATACACTTGACACAAGCAATATTTGCATTTTAAATTGTTTCTCTGAGGATTAAATGCAAAGAAAGCATTATATTAATAAAATTACATTTTTATTTAAACACTATGGATCAGGCATTTTATAAATGTTATCTCACTTAATTTCACAACAAACTTGCAGAGGATCTATTTTTATCCTCATTACAAATGAAGAAAACAGATTTGTCCAAGGTCACATGAAACTGAACTAATATAAGCCATGTTTTCCCAAATGAAGATACATCACTGGGGTGCCTGGGTGGCTCAGTCGGTTAAGTGGCCGACGCCAGCTCAGATGATGATCTCACGGTTCATGAGTTCGAGTCCCGTGTTGGGCTCTGTGCTGACAGCTCAGAGCCTGGAGTTTTCTTCAGATTCTGTGCCTCCCTCTCTCTCTGCTCCTTCCCTGCTTGCACTCTGTCTCTCTCTCTCCCTCTATAAAAAATTAATAAACATTAAGAAAAATGAAGGTACATCAGAGATCTGTAAGGAGATGAAAACCTTATTTTAGGAGTGGTGGATTCCTCAACTTATATTAGGTCCTTATGTCTTGTTCAGAAGATAATCTTGATTAGCAATGGTGCTATTTCCAAACTTCAATTTCCCTTATCTGAAACCTTTGAATGCATTTCCTGGCTTCATAGGTTTTTACTGCAAATAATAAAGTTATTAAGTTTTGAATAAATTTATTTCAATGAATAGATACTGAGTACCTACTGTGTACCAATCATTGGGAGATCCAAATATATAAGCTCGGTGGCCCACAAGAATCCAAGATCTTTGAAAACCTTTTTCTAAAGTATGTAGTAGCTCTTCCTAATTTTCACTACATGGTAACAAATTTTAATTGATAATCTCTAAAATTAAAATAAAATAATTCTGGCATTACAATCCATTTGCAACTTACAGTATTTGAGAAGAGGATATGTTCAGCAATTTATGTTCTTCATTATTAAAATAAGCTCAATGAGTGATAAGTCTGCATAAATTGACTGATTTTTGTAGAACTTAGTACTGATTTTATGTGAAATAAAATACCTCAATCATAAATTTACTATCCTTAGTTGAAATATCAAGGCACATTCTTCATGTATAAATGGATAAATCTCTATCACAAATTTTGGTACTGGTTAAGTACCATCTTGAAGCATACAGGAAGAAATAAGAACAAATCAAGATGTTAGAAATGGTGATTAAATGTGATTCTGGTACCAATATGCCAGAGAATATGCTATTCTCATAACCTGGAGCTTTACAATCCTGGCAAAATATAACTTAGTGACTTGGAAGTTTTGGCGGATTCACTCATTCTCCACAGGACCATCATATCTACAAAAATATTGCACACATTAAAGGGATCTCTATCCTAATCAGTGGGTTTCCACTACAGAATTCTCAACGCCCAGCTATTCTAGGCAATCATCTCTATGTCTAAATGGAATTAAACCACACGCAGTGATTTGCTCCTAAAAAGTGGCTTGTCACTTCCATCCACACATGGTGGGTCTTGTGGTAAGACTGACATGTACTTTAGAGTTTCAAATTACAAACTACTCTATAACTTCAAATTATAAAATGTAATCTTACTTAAAAGTCCAGAAGAAATTAAATATAAAAGCAGAGCTACTCTTGTTGAGAGTATAAAGTAGTGGAACTTCAAGACCTTCTACTAGCCTTTTTCCCTGATTTCTTTGAGCAGTGTTTGAAAATTACTGCAAGAAATATTGACTAGACTTCTACCAGCAAGGAGGAGTGTCATGGATGACATGTCCAAGGGTAGCATGTAACTTTGGCTTTAACTGCATAAATGACTTTAGTTTCCTTATTAGAATGACAAATTTGTTAATTTGCTTAAAGAGCATTCCTGTTAATCTAAATGTACACAATGTTTATAACAAAATTAACCTAAAAATATGGTCAAACCCACTAGTTTACAATGTAATCTAAATATAACATGGACCCAGACAAAAACAACACAGTCTCCTTTCAATTTCCCTGGGATACTTAGAACTGTCTCCTGAAGCTGAACTCTCACTACCTCTCAATTTTTTTGTTTGCACGTGTACTCATATGAAGTAAAGACAATTCAACTGTCCATGTCCTTTGTGAACTGTGCTAGTGTGCATCCCTGCAGCACTCTACTTCCTGTCACTCTCTACTGTCTATACATGATTCACAGCATTACAACATGTTTACTGTCTCCCCATTCCCAACTAGAATGCCTGTAAGTAATAGGAATTTATTATTTATTTCTTAAGTAAATAATCATTCTAGTCTCTGGATCCAAAATTTCATGATTCTAAGGTTTTGTGCAATAGAAATCAACTGTGTTTGTGGTAGCATTTCTCTTTCAACCAAAACAGTGGTAAGTAACTAAGATAATATATCATACCTAAAAACGTCCTTTCAATTTAGTTTATCATAGGTGTATTGGGTGCCTGGGGGCTCAGTCAGTTAAGAGTCCAACTTCAGCTCAGGTCATGATCTCGCAGTCTGTGAATTCGAGCCCTACATCGGGCTCTGAGCTGACAGTTCAGAGCCTGGAATCTGCTTCAGATTCTGTGTCTCCCTCTTTCTGCCTCTCCCTCACTCACACTCTGTCTCTCTGTGTCTCTCAAAAATGAATAAATGTTTAAAAAAATTTTTTAAAAAGGTTTATTAACTACTCACTTTATTTCAGGTGACATACCAGGTGCTCAGGAAATAAAGTTTAAGTCTCTAGGGAGTTAGGGATGATTCTCATGTAGCTAACCAACCGGTCTTGTATAACTAAACCAAACAGGTCTATTATCAATTAGTTCATTTTGCAGTCCAATTTAATAAGGTTGGATCCCTATACCAAACTATAAATAGTTTATATAGTATATTTAAATAGTATATATTATATATAATATATATAATACATAGTATAAATAGTAATATATTATATATGCTATATATAATATATACTATATTTAAATAGTATATAAAAATAGTATATATATTTAAATATAGTTTGGTATATTATGTTCAAATGTAAATGAATCAAAAATTTAAACATAAAAACCATATTAAAAAATGGAAAAAATGAATTTTTAAAAAACCTTATAGTAGAAAAAAAAACCTTTTAAAATATAACCCCAGGGGCACCTGGGTGGCTCAGTCAGTTGAGTGTCAAACCCTGGCTCAGGTCATGATCTCACAGTTTGTGAGTTTGAGCCCTGCATCGGGTTCACTGCTGTCAGCACGGTGCCCACTTCAGATCTTCTTTCCCCCTCTCTCTGTGCCCTTCCCTCGCTTGCATGCTCTGTCTCAAAAATAAACTTAAAAAAATAAATAAAATATAACCCCAAACCCAAAAGACATAAAAGAGTGATACATTTGGCTGCATAAAAATAACAAAACCAGAAGAAGTCTGCCTACATCCACAAAAAAACAAAACAAAACAAAAAAACAACTACCACCATTACAGGGGCGCTTGGGTGGCTCAGTTGGTTAAGCATCTGACTCCTGATTTTGGCTCATGTTATGATCATGACATCGAGCCCCATGTCGGGATCCACGTCAGGCTCTGTGTTGGGCATGGAGCCTGCTTGAGATTCTCTCTCTCTCTCTCTCTCTCTCTCTCTCTCTCTCCCTCTGCCCTTCTCCCTGGCTCATGTATGCTCTCTAGAAAGAAAAGAAAAGAAAAAAGAAAAGAAAAGGAAAGGAAAGGAAAGGAAAGGAAAGGAAAGGAAAGGAAAGAAAAGAAAAGAAAAGAAAAGAAAAGAAAAGAAAAGAAAAGAAGCCCACCATTACAAAATCAAAAGACAGTTTGGGAACAAAAACATCTTCAACTCATATTTTAGACAAATAACTAACTTCTATTATGTTTAAAGGGCTCCTAGAAATCAGTAAGGAAAAGTTCAATATCCCAACAGCAAAATAGGAAAACACAGTTGACAGAAAGTAGATGCAAAATGTTCAACCTCACTTATGATAGAAATGCAAATTAAAACAATACATTACTATTTCCACGGATCAAAAAGTTTGGTAACATGGTATAATAAAGAGGACACTGAGAAATAATCACATATTGTTGTGGGGGCATTACTGGCACAGCCTCTGTGAAGAGCAATCCCTCAATATCTATCAAAACAAAAAAAAAAATGCAAATATCCTTTGACTCAATTCTAGTTCTAGGAGTTATTATACCTGCACATATTCAAAATGACATAAGTATAAAGACATTCACTGCAACATTATTTATAATAACAAAATATCAAGTTAATATCATAATTTAAATATCCATCAGTAGAGGACTGGTAA